ATAAATTGGCAACGATTAACGATGGGGCCTTCATGCACCTGGCTGCTAATCCGGAAAGTTAGCTACTGTAACTAGAAATAGTTGACGGCCACCGGTCCGGAATTGATGGGATCCAAGATCCGGAATTTCAGGATCTTAGTTGGCCACTTGATATCTAAGACTCCAATAGTAGATAGTATTTAAGCCGGGGGTTTTTTCAAAGCAAGTACCTTGTTTTTGTACTACGTTTTGATTTATGCAATTGAAAACATACTTTTGAATTTATTGAGTGAAACGATTGTTTGAAAAGGTTCATTGCAGTCACCAGATACAAGTACTGTTGTCTCTCGTAGAATTCTGGAAGAGTGTTGAATAGTGTGAGAATCTATAGAGCGCCTAGAGTGAGTAGAAAGGTGTCAAGCGTGGATTGTTGATGCTTTCCTGATGTCCGGAAGGAGCATGGAGGGGAGGGGATAGACGTACTGCAGCAGGGGCTGATAGTCTTGAGGACACGGGGCGTCTTGTGTACACCGGAATCCTGGATAGGGCCGGTGGCTTCATGACGTTAGGACAAAAGCAGGGTTACTAACTGCGAACCAGTCCGGAAGAGTGATGACATAGTTAGAATAGTAGGTAATCGGAATGCAATGTCATTGTAGTGGAAATTCCGTCCCTTCAACTGGTGTTGAGTAGTCATCCGGACCAGATCAGTAGACATACGGAAGGAGCACTCATCTTCTCTAGACGGTAGAGTAGGAGCAGTGGGTTGTCCAGCCACTTTAAGTTAAGAGACAGTGGAAAATCCAGCCACTTTAAAGCATAGACGGATCAGTGAGAACTGGCCACTTATCTAAATATTCGGAAGTTAGGGAAGATGGTAGACGTCCGGCTTGGGCCAACCGGTCTGAAAGTTGGAGATGGAAGAAATCGGATCATGAATTAGGGTTATTGTCTAAAAGGGGGAAAACTATAGATCTTCGTGGTAAATAATACGGAGTGGTTTACTTTGGGGGATATTTAGTGTAAACTAAGTGTTTTCCGGAGGAACACTGACACCACGCCGTGCTACACATGAGATCTCAATTTAATCATTGGTGTTACAATACTTAATCATACAATTTTTTATCTTATAACTTAAACCTTGGAATTTAATCCTTGTTGCTTGGATTTTTCATAGTAGTTTAAAAAAAGTAACCATATGTATAACAACACATCATACAATGTCAAGAGTTTGACAAAATGAGATGGTAGGCATGAAGTCTAAATGTGCAAATTAAAACATTGTCAAATACAATGAACATATTGATTATTTGCTTAGGTTAGATAAATCAGGTGCAAACTATAAATTATAGTATGAATTGAAGCTTAGATAGATGAATGAATATTTCCAATTTCAATAATGTATTCATTCTAGATTGTGATTATTTTTATTTCATTTATTACATTAGTTAGTATTTATGTACATATTGAATGTCACATAGTTTAATTTATACAAAAATTATAAACTCTGTAGATTTGAATTTATTGGATGCAATAACATTAAATTATTTAATGTATTTTTATATACATTAATTAGAGTCAATTATAAATTTCAAACAATAAACATATTTATTTTCTTGAAACTTTAGATTAAAAAAATTTGAAGCTATGAATTGAGAGTGCTTGAGATAGAATTATGCTATAAAATCATTTAAAGTAATTTTGAATATAACAATCCAAATAAGTTAAAGGTTTACATCATCTATCGTCGAATCAATTGTACTAGATTTTGAGCTAAGATGATTCATTTGTGACATTCTTGACAAACATTACATGTAAATCTTTGCTTGTTACATATCATGAATATAAAGTTCTCTTAATTTGTTGTTATTTATCATGAACATATAGTTAAATTAATGTTTTTTGAACATTGTGTTATAGCTAACATCATAGAATAACTGTTGGTCTTGAAATACACAATTTAAAACTTTATTTAAATAAAGAGATAAACAAATATATATAAAACGTTTGAGTCTACTCTTCAAAAATCTCATTATCTGAAAAAGTTGTACATGGTATTATTTATTGATGATTATTCAAGATTTGCATAATTTTGTTTCTTCACACAAAATTTGAGTTTTTTAAATTTACTCTTTTTTTGGCTTTAGTTGGACAATTTAGGTTTCTTTTGCCAAAAACCGAACCTTTCAGCTTGCTTTCAATTTGTCCATCTTAAAGAAGATAGTCATCACGTTCATCGTATTTGACTTTGTTGTAAGCATCAACTTTGTTTCAAGACTTCATGTACATACTCTTCTATCATTGAACTCTTGAGGTTTTCATTTGTTTTGTGTGTACTAATAAATGTTTGTTTTCACTCATGTGAAAAAAATCACACACAAAGTATACAATCTCAAGTTTAAGGTTTTTGAGAGTACTAGAATTGAGGTTTGTCTTCCAATTACCTTTAGTTCAGATTGGTTTAATTTAGCTGGGTGTAATGAAAAGTTTGTCTCTTGTTTGTTCATTTGTCTTAATGCTTTTCTTGGCTACAAAGACAACTCAGCAGATTTAATACCCTTAATGAAAAGTAAGGTATCACGGTTAAGGATCATATTCTTGCAGTTTGGCAGTCTCCATGTATAACACAACATCAACTCCTTTCTTCACAAGTTATTGGAAAGTGAGGGAGAAGGGAAAAAATAAAAATAAAAATTTAAAGACAAAAATTCTAAAATTAAAATCATGTGATTGATTTGGAAAGACTGAAATTAAAGATCGTCCCGAAGTCTGTAGACAAAGTTATCATTGAACCCATGAAGCAAAAGTCAGTATCAAATTTTTTAAAGTGTGGATCGTGTGATAAAATAAGCCCAATTTGCAAAATTCAACAAGAAATGGAATGTTCACACTTATAAAGCTCACTGTACTTAGCACTCATTTTAATTTTGAATTTCATTATTGTGATCTGGTCATTAGTTTTATCTCCGAAATAGGATAATCACTTGAGTAAGGACAGTACAGTTTTGTTTGATAAGTCAAAGCCCTTGTAGCCTATAAATACTTAGTAGATTAACACAATTTCATATTTTCCTCCGAGCAAACAACATCTGGTTACAACCCAATCGCATCTTAGTTATTTTAAGTGTTTAAAGGAGTTTTGATAAATAACTGTTGTGATCATTGATGGAAATGAAAAATTGCACTAGACTGAGCCAATGATTCTTCTCGTGGTTCACACATGTCCCGCATGTTTGCAAAACAACTGTTTTCTTACATAAATGATACTTTCCACCAAGAGTTTAAAACCAGTTTATAACTGACCAGTCTCTTACAGACAAATTGATGAGTTTGGCTCGAATCTGACTACTTAGAAACGTTCTTGTTCTTGCTTGCAAACATATTTCAATCAACTTCTTTTGTTTTTCCTTTTCAAATCTCTTTAATAAATCATTCATTGATATACCCACTCCTCAAAACACCGTGGAAGGTTTAGGAATATCACTTGAGTTCAAATTTGGAGTGAAGTCAGTTGCTTAGGCTTTTTTCCAGTTAGTGCTTGAATCTCAGGTTTCTACGCATGTACTCAAAATCAATGCTCAATCTTTTTTAAATGCAAAATCTCTAAAACTAGAAGGTATGTTTCTTCCTCATTCTTCTGTACATCTTGGAATTGTTGCATTATAGTCTTCTTATGATCTAAATGCAGACAAGTTTTTGAAGTTTACATCATAAACATACGTTGAATCGTTCACAATTTTTGGAATGCATCCAGGATCTTACCAATAATTGATGATATTACATTCAAGCGTAGCTATCAAAGAGGCAGGGATGTGACACTCATTCTTGATCCATTCAAAGCGCAATTTTCCAACACACCACATCAGATGCAGTGTGGGTGCTGAAACCGCAATGCCCACGGTTCTCAGCTATACTGTAGTGCTTCCAACCCAGCTGCTTTGGATGATCATGGTATTCCATCCTGCAACTGCAACTTCTAAACAAGGTCATGTGGTGTTGTGTGAACTGCAACTGAACGTCTGAGTTTTCCCAACACTTGAAGATATCTTTCAAACTTAACAACTACTTTTTCCTAAAGTTTGAATACCCAAGTTACGGCGTTATCAATACTCTATGTCACTTCGTGTCCATTGCTTCTCTTGGCGGTCAACGTGGGGTACTGCGTCATTCGTCATTGAAGTTTTGTGGTGGCTCCCTGCCTCTCTCATACGCCTAGATTCAAGCTTGGACTCCTTCTAAACATACTCCATTCGCGTCACTTTCCTCTTGGCTGTTCTCGCCTCAATGATAAAGATTGAGATCGAATGGGTACACACAACTAACCAGACACTCTCATTCTTCAAAGTTGGTATGTAAAGACTTCAACTATTGAGATTTCACAAATGAACGAAAACTTATTAGCTTTCAGGTCATTGTCAAAGACCAACAAGTGGATATTCCTACAAAGCCAGTGATATAATCAGAAATGAAAACCAGCCCGGACGCGAACATGGATTTGTCAGTAAACTCTTCCCTTGACATCAATTCCACCGGTTGGCATAAACTCTTCGTAAATGTAGGATCCTTCTCTCCGTACTCTTTGCTTTGCTTATGAGGGTGAAGCTCACTTGAGCGCTTTCCCACCCATGGTACCCATGGAAAGACATAAGTAATCTTCTTGACATGTAAACAGCGACAGTATACGTTAATCAGGCAATGTAAACATCAGAAAGCACCAGAGGCTCGGCCATGTGCACAATCCCAGAAGATAGGAGTTGTGGACTGGGAAACATCAATTTACGGGCATAGCTGCCTACATTGCGAAAAAGTGTCTTCATCTCTCTACCAGCTGAGCTAGGGAGTATATCATCTTCGGTGATGATCTCCTGCCCGCCCAAGATATGCAGGTTTGTTTTAAAGTTACCCGAATATTGTTACAGGATTTACGGGACATATATTTTTCACCTGAGTTTACTGCAGTCCTGATATAAATTTATGGGAGAAAATCGCATGCTTTCAAACCCAATAGCCCCTACCTCACGCACCTTGAAGACGTGGAGCAGGACGGTTGCCGGTCACAGGGAATGGCGACCGGTTGTGCTTGACGACAGGCAAAGCAAGACTGTTTTCATGACAGCGAGTGGCAAGACGAGGAGCACACTTCAGCGGAAAGCGAAGGACCACGCGCAGCGTATTCGTGAAGAAAAGTTGGGGATCTGGTGCTGAATTGCGGGTTTCAAGTGCTTGTTGTAGGTTGATGCAATCGCTGAAGTGCGGAGGTCTTGTGCCGGAAGTAAGCAGTTTAACGGTGAGAATTACAGGTGCTCTCCGACTTTCGTCTGACACCGTGTTTGGTACGTCTAAATTCGTCTCTACTGCTTCAAAAATTAGTGAAGCTTGTTTGCAATGGACACAATCGGAGCATTGATTTACATCATAGGCTCTAGTCGATCCCAATCGGTGAGAATTACAGAATCTTTTTCGTTCGTAACCTGTCCAGGTCCCTGGGCGAAGCTAAAAGCCAGACAAAGAATTCATTCGATGGCACATTTTTTATTTCATTCTACACGTTCTTTTGCATGAGGAGTGTCGCTTCCTTCCAAGTAGTTTGCTGTGTTAATGACTGAGTAGTAAAGTAGCGCCAATTTGTGTCTTTGATACGTCGAGGGAAAATTCACATTTTCTGTTGCCAGCTGCTTGTAGTCAGAATTTTTGCCAGGATTGACACAATCGGAGCATTGATGTACGTCATAGGCTCTAAGTGACCTCAAGCGTTCGTCATGTCTGTGAAAGAATCCTGGTTATTAGGACCTCCTACAAGAGCCCCTTTGTGAGTGTCAGAATTGCAGAGATATGATCGGATCTGTTTATACTTAGGGTTCCTTTTTGCAGTGTATGTTCATATGAAATCAGGAGATCGCACCCAAGACTACTTTTTGCGGCAGCAGAGCTATTGAAAATGAGCTTCCTTTTTGGGAAGAAGAAGACTCCCGCAGGTATACATTTTCTTGTGAAATGTCTGAAACAACCTTGGTGGGGCTAGCTGCATTTCTGTGGAGCCTATGAGATCTTACACAGGATCGTTCTCAAACTGAATAGTCTAGATGTTTGAGAGGATTTTCAAGTCAAAAAGTCTTCCCGCGAGAAGGCTCAGAGATGTCAATTTGCATGTTCGATTGTTTGGCGTGTTACTATGAAGGGCCGATTCCAAGAATCTGCCAGCAGAATGTCGAAGATTGATTCACTAATTCTTGTTGTGAATTTTCCAGAACTTCTGCGGGAGAATAAGCGGATGTTAGATAAATCCATTCGAGAAATTGAACGCGAGAGACAGAGTTTGCAGGCGCAAGAAAAAAAACTGATAACTGAGATCAAGAAAACTGCTAAGCAGGGACAGATGGTAATAGACGGTCCTAATTCGTTGGGAAAACGCTTTGTACCAATTTCCTCCTTCATTCCCATGTTTGGTGCGTTGGATCTTTACGACATTCAGAATATCTACTTGGAGCTAAAAGCCAGTGAAGTTTTTGATAGTTTATGATGGACCTGACCAGCATTGGGATGGGTCGCTCTTCTTCGTTTTTGTCAAAAACGTTCTATATGTTTTCTCCATGCTTTCACCTGATTAGTGAAAATTGAGTTCTGTTATCTTGGATACTCAGACCATTTGCGTGTACTTCATTGAGTTGTGTTTCTTTATATTCTGTGTATGGACTTTGATACCCTGTAATCATTTTGACTGGGTAGCATCTAGTGAAGTTTTTGGGGTGGGCTGCGGCTTTAGTAACCCACCTCTACTAAGGCTGACCCTAGAAGAAGTAACAATGACGGTGGCAATTTATATCTTGCATTATATCAAGTATCTAAAAAAACATTCCCATTCTTGCACTTGTAGGGTGCTGTGAGGGTGATGGCAAAGGACCTTATCAGAACACGTCACCAAATTACAAAGTTTTATGGACTCAAATCACAACTTCAGGGTGTATCTCTCCGCATAGTGGTAAACGTTTTCACATTCATTCTTCAGTTTTCAAATCGCAGTTTCATTATCTTCTATTTGGGTACCATGCATGATGATTATACGTAGAACCGCAACTTTCTATGCTGAAGGCCCATACTCATGTTTTTGTTGTTGTCTTTGTCGTTGGTGAATTTGGTACAGCATATATCTAGTAATATATCTCATGTCAGGCTTATCTGCTTAGAAGTGTGTTATCTGCATTTGAGCTGCTTAGAAGATGACAAAGTGTAGCAGGTCAAAAGAGCATTTCATTAACCATCATGATGCTTTTCTAATTCCAGACACTCAAATCAACTCAAGCAATGGGCGAAGCAATGAAAGGAGTTACTAAAGCTATGGGACAAATGAACAAGCAACTCAACCTTCCTGCCCTTCAGAATATCATGCAAGAGTTTGAGAGGCAAAACGAAAGGATGGAAATGACAACGGAGGTTATCGGAGATGCTATTGACGATGCTCTTGAGGGTGATGAGGAAGAGGAGGAAACAGACGAGCTTGTTAGTCAAGTTCTTGACGAGATTGGCGTTGACCTAGATGCTCAGGTTTGTGTCTTTCTCTTCCTTCTGCTGTCTTGTTACATCATATCGCAGACTTTGTCAATTTCGATTTCTGTATTGGTGGTCGAGCCCTTACCAATTTCAGCTTGACCTTTACCCCACCTTCTAGTCATGTGAGCCATCTTGTCTGAGAAGTCAAGTTTTTGAAAGGTGAAATCAGTTACTTATATGTGTTTAATTGGTGTCAAGAAGTTTTTTGGCAGTATCATTGATTATCCATTCTAACGAGTTAGTTCTTTCATTCTTGGCAGCTAGTTACTGCTCCAGCAAACTCAGCAGCTGCACCGGTCCAGTCAGGACCTGCAAAAGTGGCTCAGCCAACAGGAGCTGCAGACGATACTGGGATCGATAGTGACCTTCAAGCCCGATTAGACAACCTTAGGAAAATGTAGGCATCTTCATAAATGGTCGATGTGCATCGACATGGCTATTTCTCAGAATTGGTTTGTAAGACCCTAATTCCTCAGCGACTTGTGGATAATGTACAGTATCATCCCGAAAGGGGGAAAAGCGGTACAAAGCTTTGTTTCGGATAATGTAAAGAGTGTGGTTAGAGAGACACTGTGGAGGTAACTGTCAAAGTAGATGGTTATTTTCCTGAGCATGTGAAGATAGTACTGAGAGATCAAGAGTGCAATTCTTTTGGCACAAGGTGTGATTCAAACATGTGTCTATAGGTTTTGTTCAAGCTTTATGACCTTCAGCCTGCTGATTTATGTATCATATGTCCTTTTTGGGTATTGTCTCACATGTGTGATGCCAAGGAGGTTACTCGGTTTGCTTGGTTGTAAAATGCAATGCCTCGATGCATATCACCCTTGTCTTGTCACAGAAATACAGATGACAGTGTACAAACTCGAACGTCTTTCATGTTATGGACGAGGTATTCTTCGTCTGTATTAAGTTTTAGTATTCTCTTTTGATGTGTTTTGCATGACTCTTTGTTTTGATGCGAGGCAGCTATTTTGAATAGAAGCTGCTCATGACCATTTACTCTGCTCTGTTTAACACCGATTTCACCCCTTTCGCCAAGCAATATAACTGATCTGCTTGTGACTTTTAGGTCACAAGCGGAACAAAGTTTGCTTTGTTCTGGTTACACTAATCAACACTAATTTAGAAGCACCATTAGGCGCGAGAAAGCTTATGCTCTGACGTGCTGTGTGGGTTGGCCACGAATATAGTTTCTCTACCTGGCTACGGTTTGTAGTGCAGACTACCAATGGACTGGTTGGGAGTTGAAACATAGTTACAAACAAAATTCATACTGTAAACTCATGTTGTGTATGAAAATTTATGTGTTGAAGTTTATGTTGTGATAGAATATGTGCAATCTCGGAACATGCCTTATGTGCAAGTTCATCATGGTCAGACGCTTTAGTGTTCCATAGCTTTCCTCTCGGCATAATAATGATCCGATGTGCATTGACGGTCGTGTGGTCTGCTCGGAATGGCAGGTTTATTGTCCATGTAAAAGCCAATGCAAATTGCTGTCACGGTATATTCCCTCATGTTTCTCGAACCAACGTAATGTCTCTTGACACTTTCATCTGAAGGGGGTATTTGAGTGGTGATAAATATCTGCTTAACTTTCAATTAGCAGATGCACGACATTCACTAGTGGAAATTCACGCTGATTTGCTCATGTTGTAAAGAAAGCAATAACATCCATACTAAGCGTCTGGTGGATCTACGTCTGCTCCCATGTTCATTTCGCAAAACAGGTATGATAAATGTCAACTTACAGGTCTGTCTTGACTTGTCAGTCATGCTTTTATCATTATGACAGAACTGTGACCTTGAGTCCGGCGACAGATATCGACTTGTTTTAGGTGCAACCCATTTGTACAGTTGAGAAATCACTGAAGAACTCCCCTTTCTGATCCCCTGTATAAGCTCGTAGCCACGACTAATCAAGGACTTTCTACAGTATATGCCATTCAGCCTTACTTCGTGTATGCAGATTGGAGGCAGCATACTGACAGAAGTTTCAGTTTACCTTTGAACATATCGATGGTTGGTTCCTTCATTCAATTTGTATCCCCTGTGGATACAAAAATATCTGTCTAGACGAATCTTCAGGTGATTTAACAAGGAAGATGTCAATCCGTAAGGCAAGGTGAATTGAAGAAGAGTTAATTGCCTCCGCACAAGCTTCAAGGTCAAGTGACTGAAGTTAAACCAGTCACTGACTCACTGTGATCTACTCGAGCTTAGTAGTAGTACCATGAGACGTCTAGTCCAATTCAAAATTCTGCAGTCATGCGATATACTGGTCAGCCACTAACGAGTGGAATACTGTGCGCAGAAATCTATCGAGTAATGTATCTTTCAATGGAATATCATTGTGAGTGACTAAAAAAGTTTTTGATTTGGATAACACAAAAATACAGACAACCAGAAAGACGAGTTGACAGGATAAGCAATCATACATGGTAATCCAATATGTTCAGTCTCTGGAGTTAACTAGCTCCAGTACAATGTACGAAACTATTTCAACAGACCTCATTGAATTTCTTGAGTCATTCTTTTAGCACCTCGTAAATCAGATCAATAGCATGTAGTGTGGTGTTGTCTGTAAGCTCCAAATAAGTTTTTCCATAATCATCTAGATTACCACGTTTCGAAAGGAGATGACAATTCGCGTCTTCAACTGAACATTATCATTTTGTATCGCTAAAGAGATAATTGATACCTTAAAGCTTGACGTTGCTGCAGTAAGCACCATCATCATCTTCCAATCAGAAGTACCAGGTGTGTTCCTCACCGCCCTTTGCAACAGTGACTGTAATGCTCCTTGGAGACATGCAGTCAAGGCCTGGGTAGTGTGGCGGGCCACTGTACTCAACAAGTGGCCACAACAGCCTTTTGGTACGAAAAAATGTCATATGCTTATATTTCGGATCATCATGGCCCACGCATGTTTTCTTGAATAAATCGAGAGTTATCGTTTATCTCTCAACCTCAACTCTTGCAAGTCATGTATCCCACCTCGAAAATTTAATGGCAAGCTTTGTCGAGGGAAAAGAGAAGATTTGCTACGGCATGCAGACAGATCTTGAAAGAAAGAAGACCTTGCATGTAGAGGAACGAAGCTGACTACGGGGACTTCACGAGTCATAGGAATGTTGTGTGTCCATTTGGACCATCCATGATCAACTTTTAAGGTTAGTCTGAAACGGAAATTGCATGAAAGATATTCTCGATCGAAAATTGAGATTGCTTTCTGACGCGTTGATTTCAAATCTGATCCATTTCACGATGAGATATGTATTCGAGGTTCTACGGAGTTTTTGGAATTGAAATTAGAATAAGAATTGGAATAAAAAATTACAATCGAAAAGAATTGAATCATAAGCCGTGTAAAACTTTTTCAAATGAGAATTTATCCTTGCAAGAGACAAAATATAATGAATACTCATCATGGTGAGTTTAAGAAACTTTGTCACATCTAACATGGTATTAGTCATGAGCCAATTTTATATGAAGCTAGAAGTAGTACAAGGAAAACTATTAAAATACCTGTTATTGATTAACATGTTTTTCCATGAAAAACACCTCTGAACATCTAATTATTGAATCGGATCTTCTGAACGTCTTCCGAAGATCCGATTAGAACCAAAGTAGAAAAATAAACACGAGGCATACAAAAAAATTTAGAAAAATAATTCAAACCCAAATTTGAAAAAATCAAAAGCTTAAATATACGTAAGTCTACTCAGTGTCTAATTTGATTCTCAAAAGAATTAAGATTGAAAGAATCAGAGAGTTTCTTCTCTACAATTGGAAAAATATAACCGTAAAGATCTGAAAAAATAATCACATTTTTCTAACGTAGCGTGGGCGCTTGCCTTCGGTCATGTATGGTTCACCATGAATGAAGGTGTGTTCACAACGTTCAACGCATAACCAGGATCAATGAGGTTGCAACAATACTCAAAAGCACAACACAGTAGATTAGGCGGAGGTAACACACCGTTTAATATATGTTTTCCTATGGAAGAACCATGGAAACGAGGAAAATAACAAGTAGGCATGGAAAACCAAACCAGAAAATAAAGAAGAAACAACAAGGAAATGAATATATCAAAATTACTGGTACACATGGAAAAACAAATCACGAAAGAAAAGAAAAGTTGACAACCTGAAGTTGATATGTAAGCCGGAATAAGTTAATATAAAAAACTAGCGATCTTGTCCTGAGAGCATTTTTTTGGGGGAATAATTTAATATATTATATATCTATAGACAAGGAAGAGTAGAAGGGAAGAAATCCCAAAGTACACAAATACCCAAAATTAGTATCAAGCATACCAGATCCATTAAAATGAGAATAAGGACTTAATATTAGTAGAGATTTCTAAGAAGCATTTACTTTGAATCAATACAAAAAATGGAGATGCAACACTTACTATATATATTTATAACAATACTTCAACTAAACGTATATAATTTTCTATAAATACCCAAACGAGAAATGGACCCGTGAGAGCTACACGGTGTAGCTCTCACTTATAGTACCCGGGCCCAAATTTGACGACAAAGCATATACTAATTGCAGCGAAGTCCAAGAACAAAACATAATTCGTCAACTGCAGGGTTCGAACCTGCGCGGGCAATGCCCAACAGATTTCAAGTCTGTCGCCTTAACCACTCGGCCAAATTGACTTCACATTCTCCGTGATTAGAGTTTTATATTCATACTTATAACTTAGAAGGAATGGATGTTGCTGCTTCGTAGAGACGCCACGTAAAGCTCTATCGACCACATCGATCCTCCCTGATCCACACTCTCCCACAATTCCTCACATGTCCACTTATCAGATTCAGTGACTTTCTGAGTCTGAGCTCAGCACCTCATTCAGCTCCTAGTAGTGGCAGTTATGGCTCGGGTTGTCTAACGCCCTTGCGTCGCCGGCTGAGCTACGAGTTGTCAGCCCAACACCTGGTTCCATCGTTCGTTAAACCATCCGCAATTTGTCGAACTCGCTTCCGCATCCGACTTTGGGCACTGTGTTAGAGTCCAGTACAGTCAGTCCATCAGGAGTAGTCGTAGTAGTAGGAGTTCAGATTGTACGTAGGATTGCTTTGTCGCTCGCTAGCGTATCAGCCGATTGTTTGGAGCATTGGCGCAGCTGGAGAAGGGTGGCGAATTTTGAGTCGGGCATGCCGGGAAGTGGAAGGTAGTTGGAAGGCAGAGAATGAGCCCACTTTGATCTCTGCAGGGTGGAAAGCAGGCCTGCCTGCCTCTGGTGCTTCGGTTAGAAGAACGGAGAAGGTCTGGTCTGGTCTGGTTGAGTGAGTGAGCGAGCGGAAATGGCATTGCAAGCGGTGCTGCATTTACCTTCGGCCTCCATGGAATCGGTGGCCAGAATCTCGTCTCCAGCCTCTGCCTCTTCGTCCTGTGCTCGCTCCTCTTCCCAATCTCTAGTCAGCTTTGCTGCTCGCTGCCAATTAAGGTCCACATTTTGGAGTAGCCCAGATGGAGATTCCCCGTCATTCTTGGTGCTCCCTGGTAAGAAATCCGAGTTGTTCACATTGGGAATTTGAGATTCCGCTAATTGCTAGCGGTTGAATGCAGCTCACTGGAATTCTGCGTAATTGTAACATCGATTCAGAGGATTAATGAGATTATTTTTTATGAGAGACAGAGAAGAGGTGTTGTGTTTGGGTTTTTGATTCGGGTTTCTTTCTGCCAGAGAGGAGATCTGGACGAATGATAATGCGCCGCAATGCAACCACAAGAGTTGTAGCTACAGCTGGAGGAGTGGGAACTCCAGTGAGAAACACCAGCATTCTCGTTGTTGGTGCCACGGGAACTCTGGGTCGTCAAATCGTCAGACGGGCGTTAGATGAAGGCTACGATGTGCGTTGCCTTGTTCGATCTCGCCCAGCTCCAGCAGACTTCCTTCGCGACTGGGGTGCAATCGTTGTAAATGTGAGTGTCTGAACTTCTGTACGAGAATTCGATGGGAATCATTTAAGATGGCCTCTTGTTTAGGTGGTTGTTAGGTGCTCGAGAAGGGAGATGCATATTTTATCCTTGTTATATATGAGCCATATGCCAAACATGGGTTTCTCCCTGCAGAGGTCAGTTTGAGGGGGTAGCATCTTTTCATAACCTCACCTGCACATTCTGGTTTGGATGACTGAAGCCATGCCCTCGAAGCGGAAAGACTATACGCCATTTATGTGCAGCAGAATATTCTCTTTTGAAAAGATTCAATTGGTTTTCGGGCATTTATGGGAGGCCATTTTGGCTGATGGGTTTCAAAATTGAAGAGAGTTGAGTCTGGTGAACTGCCTGTACCTGGCACCAAGGAATCTGGACAGAGATGATGTCAGTGAGAGAGTAGTATGGGTAGAATTGGGTGGAAGAGGAACGGACTTTTAACACTTGCACTTGTGAAACTACTTTCCAACCTATTGATGTTCCATTTTTCTGTCTGCAACTGAAACAGGGCGACCTGAGTAAACCTGAGACTCTTCCTGCGACGCTCGTGGGCATCCATACCATCATCGATTGTGCGACCGGACGTCCTGAGGAGCCTATCAGAAAGGTTTGCACATATGCCCTCATTGTAGCAAACTTGCTAGAATGGGTGTTTAGCATTTGGTCGTCGTACATAAGTAGCTGTTGCTCAGTTTTGTTCGACGAGATAATTGTACGAGAAGTCTTCAGAATGTCCGGGGTGTTGTAGATTTGTGGAGTACTTTCTGCCCTAACCTGGAGAGTGGCAGGTTGATTGGGATGGAAAGGTGGCCCTGATCCAGTGCGCCAAAGCAATGGGAATTCAAAAGTATGTTTTCTTTTCCATCCACAACTGCGAAAAGCACCCGGAGGTTCCTCTCATGGAGATCAAACGATGCACTGAGAAGTACTTGGCAGAGTCAGGTCTCAACTACACGACCATTCGATTGTGTGGGTTCATGCAAGTAATGTACCTACTCCTCAAGACACAGCTATTATTTTTGATCTTCCACAACTTATTATTGGCTTGCATTCGGCTTCATGGACTCTGACTCCGTATTTCTCTGATCGGTTTGTGGCAGGGTCTCATTGGTCAGTATGCAGTGCCTATTTTGGAAGAGAAGTCCGTGTGGGGTACTGATGCTCCCACTCGCGTTGCATACATGGATACTCAGGTCTGGGAACGAGACATGCAAATATGATGTGCTGATTTTCTTAGCTTCATGATGCTCATCTGTACTAGCATGCCTTTCGCTGTCAGATTCTTTTCTCTCCCTTCTGTTTGTTGGGTTCAACTACAATTTTCATTCTCTACCAGGCCATTATATGTGTCTTACAGAAATATGGTGCCGGACAGGCTCGTGCTTTTGTTGTTGCGATCAGCATCGGTTGACTTATGCGAAATTAACATCGATGATGGATACTGATTGTTCCCACCGAACACTGATGGTTTTGCAACAGGACATAGCACGTTTGACTCTCACTGCTCTTCGAAATGACAAGACGGAGAGAAAAGCTCTGACATTTGCCGGACCTCGAGCATGGACTACACAAGAGGTCGGTAATGGCGTGATTTTGAGGCGAGAGTGGCTTTATCTTCAAGTGCACTATCTCCCGGAGATAATGACTGAATCTTCCGGACAACTTCTGTCTAGTCCAAAACACTCGTGCAGTTAAGGTTTTCTGAGCGGAAATGCATTGACAGGTTCCTGGGCTGACCAATATAATACACCACAGGTCCTTGGCTTTACCTTCATACTTCGTCCTTCTTTCGCAGGTTATCAGTTTGTGTGAAAGGCTTGCTGGTCAAGATGCCAAGGTTACCACCGTACCAGTGGGTGTCTTGAAGACAACTAGGATTTTGACTCGACTGTTCCAGTGGACGACAGACGTTGCTGACCGCCTGGCGTTTTCAGAGGTCAGTACACTGCATTTTCTGCTATTCTCTTCTGTTTTCCAGTGTTAGTACCGAAGGCTGTTGCACCGTTCAAATTGACATCTCAGGTCGACGAGCTCTTTGCTCTAGTTACGCATATTCCGGCCCTCCGAACGAAGTCCATAGAAGTCGCTCGTGAAGTAATAATGACCAGGACACTTCATTAGCAGGGTCCAAGTTCGCGTCCTTGACCGGAAAGTTCATACTTCAACCGAACTCCTGTGTCAACTATGAAGGAGCTTGCATTATGCGCATGAATACCATATTTACTGAATTTAGTGATATTCCATATGTGCAATGCAGGTGCTCACAAGTGACGTCGTGTTTTCTGCGCCTATGACTGAAATTTACGGAATGCTGGGTGTTGACCCTAAGGATACCACGACGCTTGAGCTTTACTTGCAAGAGTACTACTCCCAAATTCTAAAGAAGCTCAAGGATTTGAAGGCTTCGTCGAAACAGGGTGACTATTACCTCTGAGGTTTAGGTGATAGTTATCTGGAGTGTACTTGTAGTCTACTAGGAAGTGCTTCACCCAACGGAGGCATTGTAGTGCCCTGTCAAATCTGTTCAGTTCCATGGGGATTCAACGTTTTGACGCAGAGAGAGGGAGCCATTGATGGAGGTAGATATTCTAATCACTGGTGTGTACAATGTACTGTAGAAATCTGTGTAGTTTTATTCACCGAATCAATTGTAACATGGAGAGATGATTGTGTTAGCGAAAGAGAAGCTCATTCGGCTTCTATTTACGATTTGAAGACGCTCCCTGAACACTTAAACAATTCCGTGTTTTGTGAGTAGAATCTTCTAGCTGTATTTCTATATATACAACTGTGAATGAAAATGGTCAAATGAGATCGGAAAGAAAAAGTTCAAAAAATTTTCATCTAGACGATTCCAATCTCCCAGTGTGAGCCGACGATACCACGTCCGAAGGAAGAAGACAGTTCTGTGGTGTTACGATGTCACTTCCCAATCGTCGGCCTTGACCTACCATAGAAGCGCTGTAGTCGGCTTATCACTTGCTTATCAACGCACCGACCAGTATTTGACTCTACGTTTCGAGCGCCTCGTCGAGTCTCTTGTTTCCCCCTTCAGCCCACGAAACATTTCACAGGTGCATCTCCTGAGGAATACACCTCGCTTTTTTTGACCCTAACGTCTAAAGAAATAGATTCGTTTTCAGGTTAGTCAAGGTAAAGTGAAGCGCAGGAGGAAAGGTTAAGACCTACGACGGGCAGATGGAAGTGATAAAAATCCGTCGGCAGAATAATTTACAAAAGTACTGTCACCGGAAATGAGTTTATCTCAAAAACTTGACGAGATACTAGTGTCACTACCGCTAAATCGCATCTAATGTTACCAAGTATGAATCCTCTCGTAGGGTTAGACATTGACCTTAAGGGAAGGTGCAGATCTTGCTCCTACTATCAGGATGCTACGTTCGACGTCAGTGTGAATAAAAAGGCACTAAAAACCACTTGCCATACTCTAAGGAGCGTAGTCATTACCGATCAAATTGAGTTCAAGGAGGTACTCGATGATCCGCCAACGTCCAACAGGTGAGAGAATTAATTACTTCGAGGTTCGTGCCTCTCACATGTTTTCGAAAGACTCAAGATGGGCAGCAGTGCCTTGTGATGTAAGTACTGTACAGAAAATGAGGTAACCACGGATCCAAGTGTATTTTCAAGTCGAGCTGCAAAACTTGGAATTTTTAATCGAACCGTCGTGATGAGTGTACTTACTCTCTACTTGCTGAGGACAGCGTGCTCTAGTATTCCTGCTTATTCTCACTCGCGGCAAAATTCTTCTGAAAACATTGATCTTCTTCGAAGACAGAGGTTGGGGTAGGACTTAAAAATCCAAAAGAATATCCAGAGAACGGTTGATATGGTGTGAAGGAACAGAAAAGAGAGTACTGAACTTATCTGAACTGAACTTATACTGAACTTATCTATGAGAACCTCAGTGAGATAAGATAACCTCTTATTGTACGACCACGACTGATGAGTCCGAAGATGTACTTCTTGCCTGCTGACGGCAAAGTGATGTAAATGAATTTCACCTTGTCTTCAGAAACGAATGGAGACTTGTATATCGTCTGTCACCATATGATCTTTCCACCAAGAAGCAGCATCTCCCAGTGTCGCTGATAGCTCTTGGCAGATCTTTCCAGTTAGTGGATAACTGGTGGATACAAATAGAACTGGTTATTTGCAATCAATAATTCCATGCAACCTCTTCTTTCTTCTCAGCAGTGTTCGTCGCTGTTGCTCAGGACCTGGATCTTTCTTACAAGTTTCAGACCATGTGACCTTACATGGAGCTTACAGCGACAGAAGACCTCAACTTTTCTCTAAATTACTGCTTTTCCTATGATTTCAACTGAAGAATCTGGCCAGATCATTCATCAACATCTCCGAATGCAGCGGCTGGAGGGAGAAAGCTTTCAAATGTCTAATGAGCTGTTCAAGTACTTTAATTACTGACTGCGAATGTACAAATTTGACGACAAATGACGACCATGGGTCGACCTGGGATGATGCGGGATGCTGCCTGAGCTTTTGCAGTGTACAAGTATTGCACAACCTTGTGTGATCAATCACCAGTCTTTTCTTCCTTCTAATTCAATGCGGAGTAGTTATTAAAAGCCAAGTTCCTCTTTGGAAATCCTTGATGTACTCCCAGATGTGATGTGGTGCCTTGGATTCGAAGTAGCTGGGCTGATAACTGACCTCTTAGATTAAAACGGAAGTGAAATCCTCTGAAAGCTCAATGTGATGATGATAGTAATGTGGATGGTAGTGGCAGTTTCACGGTCTACGCAATTTTGAGCCTAATATGGTGCACAGATCTAGCCAGATTAATGTATCACGTTCGTATGTGCCTGTCTCATCGGAAGTTGTGAAGCCCCTCCCATGTCTACAAAGTGCCATGCTGTTGTCCGACATTGTTCTTAAAACTGAAGTAAATTTCACTTTTGTCATCTTGAAATGGCTTCCGGTCAGTCAGTAGGTGTCAATATTTGGCCACACAAAACTCATTGCGTCACGTGTTCACCTTCCAATTTAGTAATTTCACTCTTCATGATTTGCAATCATTCATCTTTAAGGTTTTGCGCTGTGAATCGAATTGATCCACCGCTTGTGCAGAACCCGCCAACTACTCTGCTAGTTCAGCACCAGTCTCTCATTTGTTAGACATTAACATGCCTGTGTCTCGGCACATGGCTTCCTCTGTAACCAACTAACTCATCAGATGCCTTTTGTTCCAGATGATAATGACGATAATACAAATCTACCATGACCTCTACGTAAGTCAGCACTCAGTCAGAAGTACACATGGCCCTCCCAATACCATGATGCCGAAAACCTCGAGAACAAGGAGCGGTTGCTGTTCAAAACCAACTGCTTCCTGTACCTGCAATAGCATCTCTTTAAATTCTTCGATGTCCAGTCGGATCTTCGAGAGCTCTACCGAAGCCTAAACAGAGCTGTCTCCGATGGCTCAGAATATTCAGTGCCTACGACTTCGATGTCGGATTAGGAGCTGCTGCTGCGATGACGAGGAAATCCAAGCCTGCAACGAACGGCGTCATTATTACTCCGACACGATGGTGGATCCATACTGTGTGGACATCTGGATGCCATGAAGTCGATGACTCCCATGAAATTCAGTCATTGGCACATTATCGGCAGTGTCAAAGGTCAGGCAGAGTCTGTGTTTGCTGCAGAATTTGATACGTGTGACATGGACGACACTCAAAGACACGAACGCGCCATAAAATATAACTTTCAATGATTATTCAACATAAATCGTTCAAGTTGTGAAAGACAGTGGATCACAACCCCAAACTTAATTACGTCCAGCTTATATAAATTTGCTATATAAATTTTTATGAAATTGTGATGTAAGCGGTTCCGTAGAAATAATCAAAATCTTAATATATTGGAGAAAAGTTTACAAGTGCGATCAAAAAGATAAAAAAGCGAAAAATTCGATTGAATAAAATCCAAAAAATTATCTACTAATTTTCTCTATTGAACTTGATTTATATTAAAAAATACTAAAAAGAGCTTGTTATCCAAGTTTAGCCAAGTCTTACTTTCAACATGACGATCTATTCAAAATATAATAGTTGATTTAGAATTTTGAGCCATTCACAGCCCAAATTATGTCGAGTTGTTCTAGGTGCGACTAACAACTCCGATTATTACGTTGCAGCTGTTGTGGAAATGCTAAAAGCCTGCTGCTAAGCAAGCCATCCAGGAATCACGGCCGCAGCGGGAAATACAGGTTCGGCGTTTCCGCAAGCCCTCTCTAAGAATCTGAGTCCTTTTCAGCTCCGTGGCTTCGTTGCTTGACAGTCTTCGATGATTTTCTTAGATCTCCCGACGAATGATCTCCCGTGTCTTGCCTGCAAACGGGGCCCGCAGCAGAATTCGCTTGTTAATTCTGGAATTTCCAGCTGCTTTGGAGTTGGGCCTTAGACAATGGATTCTTTCTTGTGACCTCTGTCTTGTGCGCAGTGCACTCAGTCACCTTCTGAGGCTCTGAGTATTGACGTCAGAAGAAGACGGGGGTGAGGATTCTCTTCCCCGCAGGACAACCTCTGAATGTACAGTCGAGGCTCACAGAGTAGCAGTTTGAACGCGAGTTTGGGAATGATGCTTTACTGGATGTGAACGATTGTTGTTAAGAGATGCTTTGCTAAGTTATTCGAGCGAGGATATCCGAGAGTGGAGTCCGCTCTTCAAACTTAGTAGTTTTTTTTAACGAGGACGTAAGTCTGGAATAACTTACGGTTTTTCGAGACAACCTCCCAGGAGTAGTATCCAGTGCCTGGTATTGTCACGGACGACTTGCCGCAGGATGCTCTTCTCAATTTCCGTCGAAATCAGATTGGCTGTTTGTGCATTGCCTACAATCGTTATAGCTTCAGTAGGTCGACACATTGTTGTTTCTAGTAGCAGTTAGAACAAGTTTCCTCCAAGGCAAAAGTCTTATTAGTACATTGACTATGTTCGGCAGCTCTTATCCCTCGGTGGATCCTGACAGTCTTTTGAATGGAAGCAATTAGACTATTCTCCAGATTGACCTCCAGACATCAAAGTGTGACGGACGATGCCGCCTCTTATAGAGAGAGCAGCATGTGGAGACGAATGGTTGCCTGTCAGTTCGGATCCCGATGACAATGTCATGACATTGGTGTCGTAACTTTGGTTTTCCATCTTATAAGTTATTTGTACAAATAGTCATATTTTATGAGTAGTGGGTTACGTGGATTGTCAAATTGCCCTTGCATGCAGCTAGCAATTTGCAAGAAGACAAGTTGACCGTGTATACGCAATTATACATGCAAAGCCAATTTGTTCAATCTCTGGAGTTAGCTAGCTTCAGGAAAGTTCAGCACTGTTTTCTCCTCGTTACTCTCTAGTGAAGCAGCTTTCTGATTTGAGAGCATGGGCGGGAACAGAATGCCGTAGATTCCAGGACAGCCTTGGATCTCTTCCATCGATTGGGGCTTGGATTGATCATCGGAGTCATAGGTTTGTACGAATCATGGCTCGGTTGCAGCCAAGCTTTTACTCTGCCACTTTTCCTGCAGAGCATCCATTTGTCTACTGAGGCTGCTGTTGAAAGGTTTTGTCAACATTGGTCAGTTACCACTTCTCTATTCTCCTCGGAGTTTGTAAGGATCTGGCATGACGGAGAGCCGGTAGACATCATTAATTTTGGGTTGCTACGAGTGTCAGTTTTTCTCGCTCAGGAGATGTACACACTTGACCTGGTGATTATTAACCGAAGCCGAATTTGTGTGCCTTTTTCGAACTCGGAAGACCTTGACGTTATTGAGCAGGCACCTCCATCATGGATTCGACAGTTAGTGTGAATCGTTGATTCTTCTATGGTCACTTAGTGATCTATATGTCACGCTACCGGTAGTTTTTATTTTATCTGGAACTCAAGACGAGCGTGCTGGTCAGTTTCACTTCCTGCACTTGTACTCCTCCTTTCGAATCTCCTAATATCTTTTTGTATACGAGCGACCAAATTCAAGAGCTGTGACCTTGATTTTGAAGCAATCCGATATGAGCCTTGCTTGGACAAGAGGTGGTATGATTTGTGCAGAAACAACTTCAAGTCAGGGTTGCTGATTCCATCTTATCGCACATCACCTCTAACATCAGACCGCCTTACTCTACTGCTTCAGTAATGCCTTACAGTATATACGATGTTCGTAGACACGTCGTAGTCTTTTGAGCCTTTGAGGTTTTTTGGAAGGTTGTTTATCTTCCCGAAACGATGCGGGAGTGTTGCACCGCTGATCATATTCTTTGAGCTTTGCTGGACTCTTGATTGCTCTTGCTTCCTTCTTGTATCCCGTACAAATCATGGGGATGTCAATATGCCTTGTTCAAGAGCTTTTTGTGTCTCATATGAAGCTGTTTATGAGGTAATGAATTTCAGACGAAACCTCCTACGTGGGGACCAGTGCATAAAACTGACTGGCCTTTCTTCTTGGATTAGGTTCTGTGGCCGAGCAATACGATTGGCAACAGGGCATCTGTTCTACGAAGCCTTTTTCTTCCCTTTGGGTAGTGTAGCAAAAGGTAAATGGTACAGGAAGAAATGGATGTCTTGTCGAGCCTTTACTCGACAAGACATCCAGGCTTATTTAAGGAGAAAGACGGTTGCAGGATGATTCTAAATGCTTTCGACAATACTGACTACTGCACTGCCCTCGTCTTTCATGATTCGTATGTCACATGTAATTAGTCTCTGAAGTGAAGCCACATTCCTATTCGTTTTAGATTGTGTTTACCATTGTCTTATGTACTCTGTTTCCAAGTGGTCTTATGTATTCACAGGCGTCGGAGAGCGGACAGTGGTCATCGTCAGTTTTAAGCTTGCAGCATCATTGATATCTGGACATCTTGATTCCCTTCTGTCCTGCGCGTTGACTTCAAAACAGAAGTTTACTTGTATCATGTAGATGGTTCATGGTGAAGACGCATTATCCTTCTGTTAGTGAAATCGTGTTACTGCATCAGGATATATCAAAATCATCTCTTTCCTGAATTCCTCCTTATAACCTTCTTCTTTATCGGTCCTTCAAAATTCTTCTCACTTTCCGCTTTCCTTCTAACACTCTTGCGTCAGCTTACCTGTCTTTCTTCACGTCTTGATTCCTTTTGAAGTCAAATCACGGAACTATGTTCTTTGATATGTGTTCAGCAGTCTATACTGTTTTTGTTGTTACCTGTTTTTAGATTTGCTTTTGTACTTCTGTATCTTTCATATCTCCATTCGGAGGGATAAAATATACTCTGATTTTGGCAAGAGTCATCTTGGATAGTTGTAATCTTGCTGATTGACCTCATATATTCTGGTCCACAATTTACCGATGCATACAGTTTGGCTGGATACATCATTTAAGTACGTAAGATCCCTGTCCGTGAGAATCTGGAGACTTTTGAACAAGATAACAAGATACGTACATCCAACACTTGAAAAAAGTTCTCCCATGGGCGTGGATTACAATTGCTCATGAAATTTCATGCAGTGGTTAACTTCGTGAGGAAAAGATCACGAAGTTAACCAAATGAAATTTGAGCGAATCAGGTTCTACGACTCTCTTCTACCTTGTCTAGACTCATGGTTTACCCCAAAGTTTGAAATGGCCGAAAAGTAGATTTCTCTAACTTATCTTCCTCCTATATGAACACAATAAATGTAAGATTCAAGAAGATGCAATGGCAGTTGTAATATCAACTCCTCGCGGCTAGTTCCCCGGACCATTCAGACGTTGCGCAGACTCAAATCTTCCACTTCTTTCGCGATCGTGTTCCGATGTCCTTTCGGATCTTTACGAAGAGTCTGTCTCATCGGTCCGTAAATCTTCCATTTGTGCGCTTTTTGATATGCGAGAGAGTCAATAGAATATCGCAATTGGGTAGATTGTACTCTTCTGACGTACACCCATGCTGGCAAAATCTGACAAAAATTCAACTGGCAAAAATTCCTGTCTTTTACAAAAGAACCCAACCAAAGTGCATTTCATTGATGAAACAAGTGCCTTCGGGAGGAAATTACTTGATGGGACCCATTGGAAACTCAATCCTCTTGAAGGGACGCAACAGGTTTTATTCGACGGCCACCGTAAGCCGTGTTCTTATAACCTACTGATTGGCTCTATAGAGTGGGGAGTGTCCTCCACTGTCGGCCAGAGTTTGGCTACTCGTTAGCAGCCATGTCTAAGAAAACGACGGTCACCATGAGTCTGAATTATTCCCGATATGGTATTGTTGTGACTTCATGTTCTACTCGAAATAACCCCAGATAGTATTGGAACATAAATGACGGTGGGGCTGCAGGGCCGTCGATGGGGTCCGTAGGGTAAAATGAAACCTGTTGGGTACCATCAAGTAATTTTCTCGTGCCTTCGGTGATATCTTATATGTTTGGGCGAGCATCGACGAGCAAGTTGCTGATGTTACATGGTACAAGGGCACATCATTCTGCAAAAGATGAATCATTCAGATCAAATCTTGGTGCCTCAACAGTTCGCTTTACTGAGGAATCGTTGAGAAAGGGTCTTAAAATAAGCATCGATGTCCAATGCTGATGGCTACAAGCTCGGAGTGTTGTATGAGTTCCACTGTTACTTACGTGCCATCAAATAAATTGTAACAAGGTTCCTTGCTATAACCTCAACCGCTCTAATCTGTAAGTTAGTACTATCAATTAATGTGTGAAATTTATGGAGTTACTCACAATAAGGCACTGGAGGTCAGGCCTCTGAGTAGTCCACTTGGTGGGTGGGCAGTTTCTAGGGGAGGAGAGAGGCTGAAGTAATGGCATTCATATTGTGATCTTGCTTTTCACTCTAGTTGCCACTAAAGGTTTATGACAAAGTGTGATTTGAACTCTATTGGGAGAGTTCTGAATCTTGTTACTTCTCGCGAAACTCTTTCACTGTCAAGACAAGAACTGCAGCTGCATTCACGAGCTCTTCAAGATCCATATGACACGATCCAAGTAGCTCTGACAGTTATTCCTATGGAGTTGTGTGCGCGTATTCGCTCTCTCTCGGTGTGGTTCATTTTGTACTCTTGCAATTGCAATGGGGAGCAAACAAGTGGAGATTGGCGGAGAACTAACAATTGTCTTCACGTTGTATAAAAGTTGCTATGGCCTCTGACCTATGCATACATGTTGCTAATCCGATATGTCGATCCGTCACACTTCCTAAGACTGAAATCGCTCCTCGTTTTCTATTTTGTTTCAAGTCCTAAGGGTGTAACAACTTCGTGAACATGTGATGCCAATGATTGTGCAAGAATACTAACTGACCATAAACATTATACGCTGTAGACTTGGAAGTTTTGAGCCCTTTTCGGTGTTCATGATGTGGAGATGCAATGTCCAGACGACTCTTATCCTAATGTACTAATGGCCAACAAATGGCCTGCACCGCTTGTCCAGAGGATGCTAAAATAAGATACATAAAAGCTAAACGGGCCTCATGGAATAAATTAATGGATAGAAAAAGCCATATACGAAGGCACAATGCACAGGCCGACCAGTGCCATATTTGTCCCTGAGATATCAAACAGACCCAGCTTCAGCTTTTTCACCTTTTCATGGTTGTGTACCTTTACTTGTAGTCTTGAATTCTTAGGGTGATTTGGATGTAAAGAAAAGGGATGATGCTGATTCCCATTTATGGAAACCGTGATAAAAGCAATCCCTAGAAGATTATCGGTTGATTATAATTAGCACAAACTTGATTTTGAATATAATGAACAGTACATTTTGATACTTTATCTAGCATACGAGCTGGAAATTATTGTCTTATCAACCAATATGGTTCTGATTCTATCCTGTATATATTTTTGTTCTCAAAGTATTGGGAAATAGTTCACGCGTACCTTCGCAGTTTAGGTTTCAGACCTTGTTCCATTCGTGCAATCGATTAGCTCTCAAATACATGCAATTCATCGCTATAATTCACAGTTGGTTACACTCCAGCATGTGATTATCACAAGTTGAGATCATTCACTTAGAATCAATTTTCAATTGTTGATGAAAAAAGTTCTATTGAGTATATTAATTGACAACAAAGCGAAGAGTGTGAAAGTGATTATGTTGACAAAATTACTCTAAAA